TCCACCCTTCAGGATATTACCCATTCCTAATCCCATGTTGTTTGGAATCCAGTGTTGGGAAATCCTAAGGAGAGGCCACCATGGACCCTCTCTGGGCCCAGTGGAGTCTGCTGATACTTGAGGAATTCTTGTGAAGAATGGGCTAGGAGAAAGATGAGTCATGACAGTTTGAGACCAGGGAATGCCTGGATGTGGGTTCTGCCGCAGTCCGGCTGCAGCAAAATAACCGGGGGGTGACGAACAACTTGTGTAGATTGATACAGCAGGAGAGGGAGCCGTTTATTGCAGGACAGGAGCAGTATTTATACATTCCACACAGCTTATCTAATTAACATAAACTAGATACAGCAGTCAACCAATCAGGAATCTCCACACTTAATGGCTCACTTTTGTTACTTCTCAAACCACTCCCTCTGGCATTTTGCCAGGCACCATCCAGACTTGTTTAAGAACTCTAACATTCCCCTGGCAAAATGCCAGGTGTTATTTTGACTTGTTTACAGACTCTAACAGGGTTCTACTTGTCATAAATTCCTATTAAATTTTAACTTTATTTACGGGAGGAATTAAAAAAAAAAAAACACTACATGCTGACCAGGAGAAGCATTAATATCAGTAAATATGTTAATAAGAATAAAAATTGGGAACAGAACCACCATTTGACCCAGCTATCCCTCTCCTTGGTCTATACCCAAAGGACTTAAAAACAGCATACTACAGAGACATAGCCACATCAATGTTCATAGCAGCACAATTCACAATAGCTAATTGTGGAACCAACCTAGATGCCCTTCAATAGATGAATGGCTAAAAAAAAATGTGGCATATATACACAATGGAATATTACTCAGCAAAAAAAGAGAATAAAATCATGGCATTTGCAGGTAAATGGATGGAGTTAGAGAAGATAATGTTAAGTAAAGTTAGCCAATCCCCCAGAAAAACAAATGCCAAATGTTTTCTTTGATATAAGGAGTCTGATTCATACTGGGATAGGGAGAGGGAGCATGGGAGGAATAGACGAACTTTAGATAGGGCAGAGGGGTTGGAGGGGAAAGGAGGGAGCATGGGGTAATTAATGCTGGTTAAATGTATTGATCATTATTATCCAAAGTACATGTATGAAGACACAAATTGGTGTGAATGTACTATGTATACAACCAGAGATATGAAAAATTGTGCTCTATATATGTAATAAGAATTGTAATGCATTCTGCTGTCATATATAAATTTAAAAAATAAAAAATAATAAGAATATCTACATAGCTTCTGCTCTGTGTCAGGCATCATTCTGATATATTATTCACTGAAATAAGCACTAAGAACCATCACTGTATTTCATGGATGAGAAAAATGAGGCAAGGATATGTCGTATAAAACTTGAGTAACAGAATGTGATTCTAACCTCAACAACCATAGGAGAATGTGCCTCACATCTGGCCGGAAGGATTAGTTATGAATTAATTAAAGATGATGGTCAAACTATTTTGATAGCTTAATTGGAAAAATTGATAGGATAGTGAAAAAACAATGTAATCGCTGCCATATTTTAGATATCATTGCTCTAAAAAATTAGAGACTATACAGTGTTAAAATAATGTGAGTTCTGAAAATTTTTAATTAACCACATCTCCTTATCAATTTAGTTGTAGAAAGTTATTAGGGAAATCAATATGCTAATTGTTAGACATTTGATGAAAATTTTGCTTTTTAAGCTTTAATTTGTGACTTTATATTTATATGCCACTTAGTGGCTTGTTATAAATACAGCTATGTTAGCTCTCCATCACTATAATGAAATAGCAAGATAATCAACTTATAAAGAGGAAAGAGTTATTCTGGCTCATATTTTTGTGGTTCTAATGCAGGACCAGTTGTCTCCATTGCTTTTGGGCCATGGTGAGATAGCACCCCATGATGAGAGCTTACAGCAGAGCAAAACCACTCACTCTCATGGCTAGAAGCCAAAGAGAAGAAGATGAAGGGACCAAGGTCCCACTGTCCCCTTCAAGAGCACATCTTCAATGACCTACAGCCCCCACTAGGCCCAACTTCTTAAACATTCCACCCTATCCCACTAGCTCCACCGTGGCTACCAAAACTTGAACACATCTGGAGAACTTTCAAGATCTCAACCACAGGGATAAAGACTAAAAAAGGCACTTTAAAAATTAATGATTTATATATGAATTTATAATCATATGACAGTTATGGTATGTCTAGTGTCCCCCTTGTTTCAGATCAAGAATCATCCATACTCTATTTCTGACTGGTTTACTCTGTAGATCCAGGCGCTGGAGGTGGTACATTCCTCCTAGTGGGAAATACTGGAGAATAAGTTGCATGTAAACATAGAGACCAAGACAGTAATGCTGTGGAGGACACTTAAACTCTGAAAAGCACACACCTTTTTGTACAGGACCAGATACATATTTTCCAAGACCCCTTGACCAGAAATTTTTGAACATTTCAAGATGGCAACAGCACAGCATTAAGTCAAGCGGAAGACCATCTGAATGTGGAGTTCTGTGCATGTGCACAGGTTGCCACCCAGGCCCTGTTTCCATATCGTACAAACTTGGAACCTAGGGACACAGTTCACTAAGCCTCATATCTGTAAAAGTGAAAAGAATTAGAAGAGGGTGACAAGAATTATGATATCATAGTACAATAAGATGTACATATTTGGATTCTGCCTTGGCTTTCTAGCAGAGAGCTTCTTAGAACTCTGAGTGATGGGATGATAGGTACACATTCTAATATTTGGTCCTTGATTCCAGTTCCTGACACAGAGTGCCTAAGCCTGCAGAGTTTTCTGGGTGATAGAAGCATCTCTTATTCTAGTGAGGTGACTCTTGATGGGTTCCTGGATGAAGGAGACTGGACACCAGAAAGACCAAGTCATGGTTGGAAGCTTGGTACATTCAGTCCCACCCTCTGTCCTCCAAGAAAAGGAGATAAGGTGGACATTGAGTTATAATCAATCATGCCTATGTAATGAAGCTTCCATAAAACTCCCTGAAATACTGCATTCATAGAGCTTCCTTGTGGTGAACATACTGGGAAGGTGGTGCACTCAACTCAAGGCTGCATTCAGGACCCTTACAGACTTTGCCCTATGTATCTCTTCATCTGGCTGTTCATCTGCATCCTTGATCAGATCCTTTATAAATATAGTAAACCAGTAAACACAGTATTTCCCTGAATTCTGTGAGTTGTCCTATCAAATTAAATGAAATTGAAGGGATCATGTGAACTCTATTTATATCATTTGCTAGGTGACAACCCGTTTACTACTTGTAGTTGGCATCTGAAATGAGGGCAGTCTTAGACAGTCCTTCACCCATGGAGTCTGACTTTGCTAGAGGTAGTGTCAAAATTGTGGTGAATTGTAGGACACACAGCTGGTGTTTGCTGGAGAATTGCTTGGTTTGTGGGAATACCCAACACACATCTGGTGTCAGATGTTTTCATTATTGAGAGCATGAGAATAGCAAAAACAGTTTGATGCTTCCCATCTCAAACGGAAGTGAAAACAAATTTTTAGAAAATTCTGAAAATGAATGGAAGCATGCTGGCAAATAAAATAGAAATTGTAGCCCAAAATAACTTTCAGAAAGAAATGCAGCAAAGTTGGGAATTGCTGTTCCAGGTGTTATCTGTATGAGGGGCTGGCAGGTGCAGTGTGAGAAGTAAAGGAACTGTATCAGTTGGCACTCACAAGCACCATCTCTCTACACAGGTGAGGGTAGCCCAGTGATGACCTGTAAGCAGAAAACTTGGGTTCCCACTTCCAAAGAAATTTAACAAACAGCCCAGGGAAAACTAATGCTGACCTAACAGGGAAACACATACGCATAAACAAGAGAGGAAAGAAACCACTCCAATTATTCCCCAAATCAGCTCAGCTCTCCACACGTGAACATGAAAGAGCCAAGATCAACTAGAAGAGCAAATCTCTCAGCAGCATGAAGGAGAAAGAACTAAATGAACATTAAGCAGGAACCCTTGAATAAACACAAATTAGTAAACTGAAGGGAGGCTTAAAAGCTATTATCCTATTTAAGAGAGAGTATTTATGAAAGTCAAGACAGGTTGCTAGCAGAGAAATGAAGGCAGGGTCCTAATCCAATAGGACTTGTGTCCTGGTAAGAAGAGGAAGTCACATTGGGATGCACTGCACAGGGAAAAGGTCAATTGGGGATACATAGAGAAGCAGCTATCTGCAGGCCAAGGAGAGAGACCTCGGGAGAAATCAAATCGGATGGCATCTTGTCTTGGATTTCTACACCTAGAACTGTGAGAAAATTAATTTCTGTTCTTAAGCGATGCAGTCTGTGGTATTTTGTTTTGACAGCCCTCAAAGATTTGCCTTTTGAAGAGAAGTGGCAGACTCCTGGGAGCCATAATTCACGTTTCACAAGTGGTTCAATTTTACTTGTAGTTCTTAAACCGGAGAGCGATTCCCGTTTTTCTCGACCAAAAGGTCAGGGGCAAAAAGTAAACAGTAGAAATCTACAGGATAACAAAAAACAGGACCGCGAGCTGGGGATTCACGCAACACGACTAGTTCTTGTCTCAGTGCAAAGGATGCATGCTTCGGCGAGGGCTGTTAAGGGCACTTTTACGGAGAAGGGAGTAGAGATAATTCCAAGTGGAGCTGCAATTAGAGAAACAGGACACTGAGAATAATCAATTTTGAAATCCCTAGAGTCACAGTCAGAAACTCTACAACGCTGATGCCCCAAACTTCCCCACTTCCGCCCATAGTACTCCGCCCTTCGACCAACCAACTGAGCATGCGCTGATGCCAGCGCGCCTGCGTAGACTCGGATCCAATCGGAATTCCAAACCTGGGACGGACTGGCTAGCCTCGGCGTGGGGAGGAGTCTCCGAACTAGATAATGTATGTGATTGGCCGGCCTCGGGGTCCACATTCTTTTATGGGCGGGTCCTCGCCCTGGAGCCACGTCTAGTAAAGTGTTCTCCTAATTTGGGAAGTGCCCGGCGCTGGAGGGGCGTGGAGCTGAGAGTGGTCCCTTGCGCGCCTGCGCCGAGCTGCGGGACAGGGCGTGTTCCTGTTCGGGTGCCGGTTTTGCACTGATCAAGAGTGCATCTCTTGCCACCCAAGTGCGTCCTACGGCCATTCTACGTCCCCTCTGTTAGAGGCTGCCCTCTGCGGTGAGTGTGTGTGGCACTGCACCAGGGTTTGCTTCTCTGTCTGACCGGAAAGGTGCTGAACCCTCCCCAGTCCCCTGCCCCGCCCTGTCCCATCTTCCTCCCCGCACTCGGACCTCTGATGCTCAGTCTCAAGCCCAGGTCAAACTGGAGGGTGGCAGCTGCAGGGTTCTTTCCTTCCACCTCTTTGCCTTCCTGCCATCGCCCACGTGCTTTGTTTTCGTTGGGTACAGAACATGTCCAAGTCTCTGAAAAAGTTGGTGGAGGAGAGCCGGGAGAAGAACCAGCCGGAAGTGGACATGAGTGACCGGGGCATCTCTAACATGTTGGATATCAACGGCTTGTGTAAGTTCTTGGGCAGGCCCTTTCTCTGGATGAATTGGAAGGGGTTCCAAGTTTGCCAGGTAACTGCTGCTCTTGGCAGGAGAGATTATGAAGGTTTAGATCCCCACTCTCTGTAAACAGCACTTGTCCAAGGGAACTTCACTCAGAAAGTTTGCAATCAGTTGTTCTGTTCCATCTAGAAAAGGAACCTGAGAATATAGGATCAGAATCACATAAGACAGTTCCTGCAATGTCTCATCCGTGGTTTGTGTGGATATATGGCATATGGGTGGATTTGCCACACAGTTTATATAACAGCCACTTGAGCTTTTGAATTGGAAATCATTTTTAAATCACTCTTCCATTCTCCTAATATAGTCTTTGTGAACAAATGGCACACATAAGTTACATGATTAATAAGAATTCTTGTGCCTGGAATATATGTATATATATATTTTACTTTATCCATTTTGTTATTTGTTCTTTTTCGGTTATATCTGACAGTGGGTGTATTTTGACATATTATACATACATGGAGTATAACTTCCCATTCTTGTGGTTGTACATGTTGTGGAGTTACACTGGTTGTGTAATCATATATGAACATAGTACCTGGAATATTTTAAACATTTCTTGAGTCATTACCTATTTCTGGGTCTTTATTCTCCTAATTTGGTTCATGCTTTTTTTTTATTCCTCATTCGCTCTAGTGATGTCTTCCTAACTTATCATCTTGCCTTACTGTTTTGCTTTCAGTGTTATTTTCCTTAAAATCAGGAATTGTAAATGCAAATACCTAACAGTGAGGGTAGTCCTGAACTCCATAATTTGTATCCATCTGAATGGGGCAGCTGCTGCACCTGCTTCTCAGATCTCAACAGTTTTCACTGTGTGAGGTTATTAGTTCAGTGTTGGCAGAATTTTTTTTTTAAGAATACAAGAATCCATTTTTAAAATATGAAAATTTAAATATGAAATCTCTCAATTTTAGTATTAGCAACTAAGTCAAATATTTGAGCAAAGAAAACACTTCTTCAGGCTGAATGTGCCTACAGTTTCAACCTTCTCCTTTAAATTCTGTTGGTTCTCCATTAGTGACAGTAGTGCTCCAAATTTCTTGGTGTGACATACTTGAAAGGCCTTGGCCTTTCTGAATTGGACCACAGTCTTATCCCATCCTTGCATCTGGCATCCCAGCACTGAACTGAGCACAGTGCTCCTGAAGCAGAATATACCCCATCAGATCTTTGTTCCTTTGAATGTGTTGTTTTCCCTCCTTACACTCTTCCTTACCTGAAATCTTTTTATCCTATCAAGAGTCAGCTCAGTTATCACAGCCTATGCAAAGCTTTCTCTGTCTGCATAGTTCCTCTAGTCACTATGTCCTCTGTCAATTTGGACATGCCTTGCTTCATAAATTATTACATGGGATTATAATTTCTTTTCTTCTTTTGAACTCTAAAAGTCTTTCTTCCCCACTGGGAGATTGAGAGGACTAAAGGTTTGCAATGTTTATGTTTGTGTACTTTACAATGGTGCCTGGAACACAGTAAGTGTTTGAAAGTACTTTATAAGTAAAAGAATGATAGATTAGGCCAGTGAATTTAGGAGATCCATTCCAGGATGTTATAAGAAACAGAAGGAGGATGAATTTAGGAGATCCATTTCAGGATGTTATAAGAAACAGAAGGAGACCCTCAAAGATGTTGGATAGCTTGCTAGGCATGGAGAAAGTAGAGTCAGGTTTACTGAAATGAATGATTTGTGCCTGGGACATAGATTAGGGTTGATGCTATTGATACATCTTGGCAAAAGGAAAGGGGATAGAAAGTAGATGACTTGAATTTGATGACCGTTATGAAAATACGCCATTGATTTTGGTCTTGCCTAGTTAGCATCCCATCCTTCTTGCCATGTGTTGGTTTTCTGCAGAAGAATGGATTCTTGGTATCAGCTGCAGAGCAGGTTTCTCTGGTACTGAATTGACAGCTGAGGATCTGGATAATGCCCCATGCTGCCCCTGCCCAGCTCTGCTGTGGTGATGATCATCACTGAAGACACTGTTGCTGTAAAGAAAGAAGATGGTGAACGGAAAACAAGTGGCTCAGCACAGCTATATCCTGGCCCCCAGCTTTCTGCCCTGCAGTGCCCCTTTTTCTCGCAGGATTGAATAGAGAGTTAGCTTTCAGCAGAGCAGCTTTGTGCTCCCCAGCTTTTGAAGAGGAGACTTCATGTAATATTTACAAGCGGGGAGTGAGGCTGAGCTATTTCAGTTCAGCTCCATTATCTCTTTGAAGCCTTGGCTTTTATTCAGAAGAAAAGATAGACACTTGCTTCCTAAAAAAGATGTTTCCGGTATAACACTGGGTGGTGAAAAACAAGGTGGTTCTTCAGCTTTCCCCAAAAAGTCACTCAGGAAGAGCCCTGGCATTTCCTGGGAACTTTAGTAGGAGTGAATTTGGAGATCCCACCTCCTCTGGTTTCTGTAGCATTGGCCCAAGGAAGTGGCTACCTGCTGTTCACTCCCTGACTTCTGGACTCCTCAGAGCCTGGAGAGTTCCAGAATGCTCTGCAGAAGCCCATTTCTTCTGGGGCTCATTTATCAGCTGTGCAGACAATCCTTAGTATATACCTACCATGTTAGTCAGTTTTGTGTCCCTGTGACCAAAAGACCTGACAAGAACAACTTGGAGAAGGGAAAGATTATTTGCCTCATGGGTCCAGAGGTTTAGTCTGTGGGTGGCCAAGTCCATAGCTCTAGGCTCAAGGTGAGGCAGCAAGTTATGGCAGAAGGACATGGTGAAGGGATGTTGCTCCCTCCATAGAAGCTAGGAAGCAGAGAAAGGGAAAAGGGTCCCCAAGGAAGATGCACCCTTTCAGGGCACATTCCCAGTGACCCACTTCCTCCAGTTATTCCTTAATTGTCTACAGTTGTCACCCCATCAGTCCATGTAGTCGAGGATGGAATCATCATCCAATCATTTCACCTCTGAATATTCTGGCATTCACAGGAGCTTTTGGAGGATACCTCAAATCCAGACCATAACACTTGTATTAAAATATTCAACATGGTTAAAGTGTCATGTAAGAATTCCCATATTCCTTTATTTGTACAATTTTAACTGTAGCTGTAAAGTTTTACATATTAGTACCTGATTAAACACAGGGAACAATTAACTTGGATGTACAGATAATGTCTGTTTCTTGCATTTCCAGCTTTTCTTTTACTGCCTTGACTTTGTTTAATTTCTCAAAAGATAAAAAAAAAATATTTGGTTTTGAAGATAAGAATGAAGGTTTTGTATTTCTTTGAAGCACATGAAATGCCTGGCTTTCTCCTTTTGAGAATTGAGTCTTATAAATATGGATACATATTTATAGTACTGTACTTCCTCGCAGACAGATGTTTTGAGGAGTTTAAGTACCAAAAGTTTTTTGATGGGGAAAACAGCTTGGGCTGGAGACAGGCATCAGACCATTCTACTATTTTCTACCTTCCCAGCCCAGTTCTAGGGGTGCTCAAGTCCTACCCTGAGAGGTCGTGGGGTTGGGTAGGCTGGGTTCAAATTCTGTACATACTACTGTGTAACCTTAGAGAAGCTACTCAATCCTTTTGAGCCTCAGGTTCCTCATTGTCAGGTGGGGATTAAGTAGTCATTTTGTAGGACTAATTTAGTGTTAAATGCTGCAATGCACATTCAATGTTACCTATTAATATGAGTATCCACATAAAGGCCATAAACCCCAGATGTAACCAGGCCTAGCATAGTCAATTGCCTGAACCAGGAATTAAACTTGGTTAATTAGACTGGGTAAAGAATTGCATCATATGTTGGTGTTTTTGATGTTGCTTATCAGAATATGGATTGTTGGGCACTTTTGCCTTGAGTTCTAATTGCTTTAGATAGCTATTTTGTTTTGCAATTTTTCTAATTCTATTTTCCATCATTTTTTTTAATCGGCATGTAATCTACATGTACACACTGTCCTTAACCACTATGTCCTATGGTCCTATTATTGGATGCCTATAAAAACAAATTGAAGGACTGGGGTTGTGGCTCAGCGGTAGAGCATTCACCTCGAATGTGTGAGGCCCTGGGTTCGATCTTCAGCACCACATAAAAATAAATAAATAAAGATTGCGTCCATCTACAACTAAAAAATAAATATTAAAAAAAAAACCCAAATTGAGCAATTTTTATAGGCGTCCTGTATATAGGACTATGAGACATAATGGGTTACAGTTTCCAAAGAATGTATCCATATTGTTCTTTTTATTAAAGAGATTTCAATGTGCCTACCCCCTTCACCTGGCTGATAAAGTTGCTTTCCAGGGCTCCTGTAATCAGCTTCCATAGAGGCAGAGTCCCAGCAGTAGACAGGGGAACTTTTTTTTTTTTCCAATTTTTTTATTTAAATATTTTATGGCTTTTTAATATCTTCAGGGTTATTGCCCTCTCAATGGCCAGGCTTTTATCAGTTTCTTTTCTTTTTTTTTTTCAGGTTAGATTAAACTGTCTTTCAGATAAATCTTTAAAAAGAAAAAATAACTGCGGTTGAGGGAGTGGTCTTTGTAAAGAAGCATGCAAAATAATTGACACATATAATCAGGAGTGAACAGGAGGTGCTGTTTCAAAACCTCTTTCAACCTGGAAGTGGCCCTCAGTGTTAGGGAGCATGTTGTCAGTGCAGACTTTTCTTGGCAAGCGAAAGATGAAAGAGTTGGGAAGAACATGTGATTTTAGCCATAGTCTTTATTAAAATCATTTATCCCCCTGTAAGTTGTGTGTGCACGCCAGCCTTTGTTTTGACACATGCCATACCTGGATACCTCTTTTCCCTTTTTTCTGCTAACCTTCTTAGTCCTTGTCAATCAATGCTTGTTGAAAGAATTAATAACTTGTCTATACACATGTCTCCATTCCTGCATTACCCCTTTTGGAAAGCTCTCCTAGTTTTCTAAATTTTAACTCAAACAACCCAAAACCCAACTTCTCTCTCTCTCTCTGTCTCTCTCTCTC